TTAATGGAAAAGATCGCATATTGCCATATATACATGTACTTTCATTACCCTTTGGACATAGAATTCTGCAGATACGAGTCTTGTAGGTTCTCCTGGAAAATAACACAATATTGTCACAGATTTAAGCTGGTACAATTGTTTCAGGTGCGTTAAGAAAGAAACTAACTTTGTTACGATAAGTTCCACTGGACTGGGTGAATCCATGCAATTTTAAGTCATTAATTACCCCCCCCCCCCTCCCCCAACAGCAGAATGAGATGTAGTGGTTACCCTTATCAAACTGTTATGTTTGTTGCAGACCTGCAGCAAGTCTGCTACAAGTTTGCAGCAAACAAAATTGTTCGCAGGAAGAAAATTTTCTTGTTCGCAGATGATTACCGCTAGCTGCGATCTTGCGGCAAACATTGCAGCAATTGCTGTAAGCTTGCAGCAAATTCATTGCAAGAAACATACACGCCAATCTGTTGTTCGCAGCAAGTTTGCAGGAAACATTTAACAAATTGAATGTTTGCAGGAAGTTCGCAAGAACAGTAAACAAGTCAAATCAGGCAGTGAAATGCAGATTGTACCGAGGTCAACACAGAATTCGCCATTTTGAAATGTTTGAATTGAAGTGTAGATATTTCAGTATTTTGTTAGGAATATTTATCAAGTAAACATGTTGAATGATTACAAAAGCATAATTCTGGATGTATGTGTACATTGGCATACACAAATCTAATTGGTAAGATCTGATTTTGTTTTATTTTAATATGAAACAATTATCTCTTTAAAGCATGTTTAAGTAACATGTACTTGCTAGGTCAAATCTTAATCTATTTTAATCTTTATTTTAATATCACATTTGTATGTTTCTTTAAATGTATTAAAGGTTCCAAATCAATTATTATAATTGTTTATATGTTTTCAAATAAATTGGTATTAACCGTACAATTATATTGTTAAGTAATGTGCAAAGATTTTTAATTTTCTGTAAATGTCAAAAAAAAAAAAAAAAAAAAAAAAAAAAAAAAAAAAAAAAATTTTTTTTTAATTAAGAATAGCATGTGAACATTGTCTAGGAACATAAAGAGAGACAATTAACACTTCAGAAACTAGCTTGCATCATTTCAGACATCTCTATAATTAACAGATTAAGGTCAGGACAAGGGCTTTCTGTGAACTTGCTGCTTGTACGCAGGAATGTGCCAAAAACAATAATTATATTGCTTGCCGCTAGTTAGCAGCAATGTTTGCCGCAAACTTGCAGCAAGGTTTCCATATTTGGAAAATCCAGTGTTTGCTGCTGACTTGCATCAAACTTCATTTGCATGGTAAAATGTTTGCTGCAAGCTTGCTGCATACTTGTCGCAAACTTGCTGCAAGCACAAAGGCTTTGTATAGGCTGTCATGGTTTCTTTAGCTTCATTGCAGCAAGCTTGCAGCAATGTCTGCAGCAAGTTTGCAGCAATGTTTGCTGCACACTTGCAGCAAATGTTTGCAGGAAGGCGATATTTTTGTAAATCTGCTGTACAAATGAGGAAAAATTTCCGAAAGTGATGATTATTGGTCACAAGTCCGCCACTAATGCCGAAATAATATTGGATCAGCAGCAGAGGACTGTTTGTTTTACATGTATTTGAACCAGAGACATTACATCTCATAGGTATACAAAATATGTACATATATATTTATAGTATAAATTTTATACAAAAGATTTGCACAGGATAAGTGTAGTATATGCTTTACAATATACAAATACATGTGGCAATTGCATAAACAATAGCATTTAATGTATTATCATTTCTTATTGTCCACTATTTAAAACATCATTTCTTAATTGATCAGAAAAATATAGAAATTTACCTAAGTTACATAGTTCTTTAGTATTTGTGGAACTCAGTAACTGTACTAATTTAAATACTGATGCTTTTTTTTTAATAATAACTCTTGATATATTTAATTCTTAGTTCTTTATATCGAGGACATTTTAATACAAAGTGAAATTCGTCCTCTGTCTTATCTGATATACATATTTCACATTTTCTATCTTTTCTTTCTATGTTACTATACCTGGGTCAAGACAATAAATAGGCGTCGCCTATTTACACGATGTCATCGTTGTAAACAAAGAAATTCCGCTTGTGTACAGGCCTCTATTAGTTCGACGGTTAAGAATGATTCACAATAGATTGATCACTCGGGTTTGAGCCTGGTAGGACACATTGTATCTCATAACACTAAACTGACTTAATTCTTGTCGTAGCGACGGAAGAGTAACGGGCGACAACTCCAATATTTTGCTTGATTTTGTGGTTCGTGAAAAATAAACGATCTTTTGGTCGTATAATATTACAGACTGATACAGAAAGGTCACGACATGTACAATCGCAAAAGTTTCTCGGAAACCTGTGTGAGGTTTTACTTCATGTGTATATTGATAAAAAGGAAAAATTAATAATGAAAAAAAAATCGCTTCAAGAGGGAAAAAATGAATTTCAGAATATACACCATGAAAAACCGATTTTTATAAAATAAAAAAGTACATTCTCTGAGAATTTAATAAAAACAACAATATTTACTCGGTAATTCCATTCATCATAGTACCCCCCCCCCTCCACCAACTCCATCCTTATTCATCTGTTACTGTCTATACGTCGATTTATTTAGCTTCTTAAAAAAAACAATTACCAATACCTCAAGTAAAATTTATCACAGAAATGACATGACAACCAAGAAAAACTTTGTACATAACATATTATTGCGAAACTACATATGTGTAATGTACAATTAATTAAGACAGTAAATTGAGAAAGAATAATTATTATTGAGATTTGACTCGGTGAACTTCTCGACATTAACATATTCCATAATATAAATAATTTTATGGGTGTCAGACAGTAAACATTTTTTTGCCTCATACAATGGTCTCTTGAATAATTTTGATTTATAGCCAGTTAAGTTTTTTTTTGTTACCTTTTTAAAATACTAAAGTAAAATGTGAGTTTGATGTGCATGAGAAAAATGTGGATGTTACAATTGTTATTTATTTATTTACTTGCAAAGGCATTATGATGCAAATACAGAATTTCTAACCATAAAATTAAGTTTCATAACTTTAAGCCTTTCCTTTTTCATTATCAAAGTAATCATCATTTATGAAATACCAGTAATTCTTTTTTCCCTAGAAAGAATTCTATGCATACATTTTACTGTATTTACCTTGGTCGTTATTTTTGGTTTTGGCAGAGAATTAATATTTTTTTATGCCTTCTGATCCTTTAATTTACAAAGAAATCTAGCTGGTGAAATATAAAGTTTTAATATTGATATTACTCAATTTTTTTTATTTTTTTTTTTTTGATTTAATTTGTCTGTTAAAGAATTAAAATTATGAGTGTCTGGACTTAAAAATTCTGCCAATCCTTCTTTAATATTTTAAAATATTTTAATGATTAAATACACTAGTAAAAGTTTTAAATGCAAATTTATTGTTTATATAATTATTTTAATGTACTCTGCATTAAATAAAGAATTTCAACTCAGTAGATTTTGTCTGTTTGGTTTAAAAAAAAAGGTAACACTTTGTTTCAAGATGTGAAAAAATGAAAACCTTAAAATAATCATAAATTTTTAATTTCTCAACCAATTTAAAAAAAAAAATATTTTGGATATGGTTTTGATGGTACTTCAATATAAAATGTTGCTTTTTAATTTAAGAAGTGCCTTCAAAAACCATGTTCCGTAGCTACTTAGCTACCGTGACGGTCTAACCATACATGAAAAAAAAATATATTTGGACTTTTAGAAAATTGATCATGATTTATTATAGAGGTATATAAGTGTGTTTGTAAAAGTTGTCCAAAAACAGATCGTAAAACGATTATTTTTTTATATGCTGGCAGATAGTTTTCTTTATTAAATCAATAACTCAGACAAAGCGTGCACATATTATAATAATGCACGGTTAGTAGAAACGACATCAAATATTTTTATGTAATACACTGTAAATGTAATAAAAAGTAACTTTAGATTTAAAAATACATGTAGTGGAAATATTCTGTGAAATATCTTCATTTTAGTGCATACATACAAGTATTTTTTTCTCGTATTTTTTTTTCTTATAAAAAATCGCTTTATACACTGTATCATTTAATAATTTAGAAGGACCGACATTAACCGCAGTTCTATCTATGTAAACCTACTTACATTTACTTTTTCTGTGTGTATACATTTACATACTTAATTGTTTAAATCTCTGTTAGTTTATTTTAACAGAGATTATATAATTATAAGATCTGATTTTAAAATTGTGCTTAATTGTGAAAAAAGAAAAAGAATACATGTATTAAAAATTGATCAGGATCAGTTGATCTCTCGAACAATCGGAGTATGGATTTTTTAACGATCAATTTGTGCACGAACTGAATATATTAAGAGTTTTCAAATTGCAATTGCTGAGCCAAACTGTTACAAGTATCTGCACCGTAACATTACAATGCATGTATATATTCGTAATTACAGTATGTTTTTGGTCATATATTTTTTTGAAGCATTTTTTGGTTATAGAAAAATAACGATGATGTCGTCATAAACTCGGATAGTCCATTTCTATATATATCGTTTTTTATGTCCTCGGGTTTCAGATTGCAGAAAGCGCGCATTCAAAGACGCCGACATTTTTCATTGAACCATTTTTACTATGGATTTCAATACCTCCCCCCCCCCCCCGCCCATGTTTATTTGAAGGTAGGGTTGGGTGGGAGTACTTGTGAGGTGGATGTTTTCTCCATATCTTTATTTTAACGAATTTAAAGGCCTGTTAAAATCTTTATTGTAAGAAGCTTCAGGTCAATATTAATAAATTATGCTATTCTTGGTTGTAAATTATACAATTTTACTTCGAATGAAAACTTCATTTTCATAAATGCACACCAATAACATCATGCATCTTAATCCCTTTGTCGCGTATCATATATGTATTAAACAGGAATAAGAAGATTTTTGTTTTTAAGTGTCGCTTATAATTCAATCACACAATATTGTATAAAAAATTATAAAATTATCCCTAAAATCGCAAAAATTAACTACATCGATAATTATTGGTAACCTTTTGGTTAAAATTGCGTACTTTGCCGATATAACGTAGAATTTTGACCCACGTTACACTGGTTGCTAAAATAACCAGTCATGCGTATGGTATTACGTCAGGTGTGCATACAAAAAGAACATACATATTGATCATTCAGACCACTACAATTGCTTACTAAATGGTATCAAAGACGCATGTATTTTCAAAATGTATCAAATTTAAAAGAAAATAAATTGACAATAGTGTAATACGATGTCACATGTATATAAACCAAATTATACCAAATTAATGTAATTTTTACACTTTTGGATGTAGATATAAATAACAGTCTAAACATGGGAAGTGGATGCTCGAACATTGTGACGTTGTAATACTTCAACAGCTTCCTTGACCTACAAAGAGGGTGAAACCGGAGAGCATTGATTATGAACTTAATAAAATTTATTTAACATTCAGATTTTTGTACAAATTAAAATTGAAATATATTTTTTTTATTGAAGTTCAATGTACACTTTTTTTGTCTAACCGGTTACCGACTGGGCCATTGCTGCTGCCTAGTAACCGTTTTACCAGTAACCAATTTTCAGCCATAATAATAATACAATCACATGAACGGACTCAAGTACCCAGTATTTATTATATTTAAGTGCTTTATCATTTCAGTCAAAGAAACCTATTATTTTTGTCTTAATTTGCATTTACTTTATTGATTCTACACAGAGATGCAATAACATTTTAATAACAAAGTGTCACCTTAGCTTCAAGTGACTCTTGAGACTCCAACAAGTGCAAAAGTTCGGTGTTGTCGAATTCCAGTAACATGCCTGTAATCTTGCCGGCCATTTCTGGAGAAAAACGAGAAATGAGAGGGTACAGACGTTCTCCTAACATTTGTTTTTGTTCCTGAGGTGGTGCTGTGGCCAACATGGTGGCAGTAAGTGGTTCCATTTCTTGGTTAACTACAGCACGTGATGGTGCCTAGTCAAAGACATAAACGGTAAATTCTGTATTAAAATGACTACCTGAATACAGTGATTATAATGAGTTCCTCGCAGTAACTAAAATACACTTCTGAAATTGGCATATTTGTTGCATTCCGAGGGCTGTAAAATGTACCTGTTGCTGTGTAATTGTATATTGTTCACGAGATAACCCAGCGTACCTTAACTGATTCTTGGGATTGCCCAGACATACGCTGGCTGACGTACACGTTCTGCTGGGAGGCGGGTGTTCCTGACCAACCTGTGATGGAATGAGATGTTATAACAGAGTGTATCTTTGTCGTCGAAATTTTCTCTGTTAAAGGATAGATGAAAAATGAATTTCTTTATGGGTTACAAAATTTAAATGAAAAGCGAAAACTTGAATTAGGCCTCGATTGATTTTAAGCTACCTACTTGTATTCAGTCTTACAAGTAGTAATTAAAATAAGGGACACCGTTTAATTAGATTTTCTACAAATTATTTGCATTTTATCTTAACTTCTGAAAAATGAAAATTTGTGTTTTCTCATTCGTCGTTGTTTTCCAATTGTGTATTTCATTATAAAAACACTTTCAATACATTGAATTTATGCATAGAATATATAGAATTCTACAAATCAATTCGAATGATTATGAATTAGGTTGGAATATACATGTATTTAGCCGACAATATATTATTTAAGCATTGAATCATTATTTTTGAAAGATACAGTCTCGTAACTGCAACGGTGTGTGCAAACAAATTGAGTAACGCACGTTAGCGCGTTATGAAAATTTGTTTGCATACATCGTTGCAATTATGAGACTATATCTTACAAAATATAATGATTCAATGCTTATATTTACATTTTTATCTCCTTGCCTCGACTGCAAGTATGATTTATATTTCAAAATTCCTGTGTTATTATTCTTCGGGTAAGTTATAATTAATGAAAGATCCATTGCAACAGCTTCTGTTCAAAGTGAGCATTAATTTTGATTTTCGCTTATGACGTTGCACTTTCATGGCGTTCAACGTTTTTGACGTCAAAATAAAACGCATACTTTAACTTTTTGAACCCCTGTCCGTGTTATGGTGTTTTGAATGCTGTAGATTTCCTCACACTTTATAAGCAAAATACATGAGAAATGTAATAAATATGCAAGCTGATGATAATATAATTAAATATGCTCTGATCAGGATGTGAATTTTGAACCCCATTTCTCTTTAATGTTATTTAGTTCGGTTATATACATGTATATGTGACGTTGGTTAAGCGCTGCATGGTCGCGACAATGCACATTTCAGTAATTATTTACTACAGAGGACATACCATTAGCAGGCATGGAAATTGTTCTTGGAACGGTTGTTTGCAATCTTGGCATACTGTTGGAAACGAAGTAAGCTGGCTGCACTTGGGTCATGGTGGGTGCATAATATCTAGCAGCATCTGGATACATCATTGGACTCATCTGTCCGAATTTTTCTCCCTAGATACATGTTTCATCTTGGTAAAAACTTGGAAGCGATATAGAAAAACCTCTATCATGTTATTAAAACAAACTATTTTTCCAATTAAATGTGTACTTACATGTGGATTTGACAAAGTGTAAAACTATTATTTTTTAGAGAAAATTCTGACAAATATACTTCGGTCTACCCTACCTAATAAGTATACTAGATTCTGAACTTTATAAAAATCTTTTCAAACAAAGAAACATTACCGGGTCCAGCAAGTGCTCTATCAAGCCCATGTGTTTACTGCTCACAAAAATATTAACTGTTGTAAAGGAAAACTTCAGACGTACTGTGCTACAGCATATTCTAGAAGTGATGTAAATCCATGGATTCTCAAATCATTTTAAAAACACAAGATTTTTCAAAAGTTAGTAATATCAAAACGTATGACTTTTCAACACTTTGTACAACCATCCCTCTTGATGAATGAAAAACTAAGCTTTCTGATATATCATAGACAACTGCTTCTTCCATAACAAGAGGCCCAAGTCACCTGAGTATAATTCAACAATTTAGAGGATACATAGAGTATAAAATAAACTGATAGATGAAGCTTTGTTGCCCAAATGCAAGAGAAATGGGACGATCATATCCAAGAAATAATTAGTCTAGTATTCAGTAACAACTCATAAATTAAGTTCTTATCTGCCCCCCATACATCACTATCCCCATGCAGACTATTAACAAACTATTAGTGCTTCTGTACTATTTTTTTTAATCCCATATCATAACCTCTCACATTGGCCTCTCTTGCTCTTTGAAAAACAATCAATAAGATTAGTTTTTTTTTGGTCTCATTTTTATTTATCTATTATTTACAAGTCTACCTGATCATTAAAACTATAAAAGTACTTTATGTATTATACAATAAAAATTCTTGCAAAATTCTCTTATTTCTTAAACTTACAAATACATTATTTACAGTGATTAATAACTACGGTATGTGTACGTTAAAAAGCAGGGATCATTTTTAGCGGCTTTGGCGCATACAGCGATGCTCTAATAACCTTCAATAAATGAATACAATGGACGATCAATCTATACGCATGCACCCGACTGTCCAATCAGCCATTTTAAGTTCAAAATCGAGTCCGATTCAAATTTGGCCTATAAATACCCTTATATATATGTGTGTGATTCTATGTAAAATTCAATTTTTAAAATTCAATTTCAATGAATTCAATTTGTTATTCATAAAACAAATCTGCTTATCGTCTACCTTGACAATGTAGTACATGTAGTAGTTACAAAACGCTAGTGAAACGTAGTATAACCCTTCTTAATACAATGTTTTTAATATACCATTACGGTAATTACTAAAAATGTAGTATTAGCCGCCTTTTAAAAAAGATAAAGAATTAAAAAAAAACTGGAAACATGGATTCACAACAGAAATCTATAATTACTGTTTGTGTACACATTGTACCTTGATTGTCTCGTGAATTTCACCAAAAAAAGTTAGACAACCGTTCTGATTACTTACGCACAACTGCACATGACACCTGTGAAAAATCTGAATACATACACTTCCGGGTTCCGATGTCTCCGATAGCCCAGGAGCAAAGAAGATTTTCAGAGAAATAATGCATTTTCACTACAGATTCAACATGGCCCTACCCTAACAGCAGAACCCATGACCCAGGGTCATGAAATTCGCAAATTTCGAAAAGGCACCCTCATCATCATAACTATGTACTTAGTTAAAGATTTTCAAAGAATTAACACATTTTAACTATTAAAATTATCAATAGCCCCCTCCCTCCCCCCCCCACCAAAAAAAAAACAAAACAAAACAAAACAAAACAAAAAAAAAAAACAAAAAAACAAAAACAAAAAAAAACAAAAAAAAAAAAACAAAAAAACAAAAAAACAAAAACAAAAACAAAACAAACAAAAAACACCAGAACCCCTGACCCTCGGACCACAAGTTGAAATTTTTGTAAGAAGCACCCTGGCTTATAATAACTGTGTACTTTTTGTATCTGCTCAACACCAAGGAGTAGACAGGGTTATTCAATAGAATTAATGCATTTTCACAATATTATCAATAGAGCCCCAGCCTTACACCAGAACATCTGACCCAGGGTCCATGAAACACACAATTTTGGAAGAAGCACTCTTGCTCATCATAACTAAACACTTAGTTTCTTTGCTTTTAAACCAGAAGCAGAAAAGATGATTTTCAAAGAAATTATGCTTTTTTTCACTATATGTTGAATAGACTCCCTCCCTTTCACCAGGACCCCCGACCCTGGGGCCATGAATTTCATAATTTTGGAAGAGGTACCCTTGCTCCTAATAATTATGTACTTAGTTGGTTTGTTTTATAACCTGGAGCAGAGAAGAAGATTTTCAAAGAAATAATGCACTTTCACTAAATGATCTATATAGCCCCACCCGAGCACTAGAACCCCTGACCTAGCGGCCACAAAATTTCACAATTTTGGTAGAGGACTCAATGCTTATTGCAATTATGACAACAGTTCAACTGCTTGATGTTCAGAAGTAAAGAAGGCGACTTTTAAAGATAGCACTAATTTTGATGGTTTTAGCCCAACCCCTCAGGACTCGGGGAGACCATGAAATTCACAAATTTTGTTCCCCTTCACTCATACACGCTGTATGTCAAAATTGATCGGAATTGGTTCAGCGGTTTCAGGGAGGAAGCTGAAAATGTTCAAATGTTAACGGACGACGCACATCGCAAAACGCACGACGACGGACAAAAACAGATAGCAATTGGTCACCTGAGTGACTCAGGTGACCTAAAAATGGAACTCAGGGATTTTTCTTGTGATTGGTCGAGAACAAAATTACTTTGTTAAGAATCACTCTGATTCTACACACAAGTACTCTGATGTTGATATCAGAAGGATGCTAAATGTAAGAGTTCCTCATAAACAACTTCTTTGTGGTCTTTGGAGACCAGGATTTCCTACAAACTGTTGGAATTCAGATGGGAACTTACTGTGCTCTTATATTCGTACGAAGCAGAATTTATTCAAACAATTTCTAAATGAGAAGAAGAAAGCTCTTGCTTTGGCCTTCAACTCGTCATTCAGATATATCGACGACGTTTTATCAATTAACTATAGATAATTCCTTACATGTACATATGTCGACTCGATATATCCTAGTAAAGTTTGTTTGTTTGTTTGTTTGTATGTTGTTTAACGTCCCTCTCGAGAATTTTTCACGCATGGAAACGCCACCACTTGCCGGTGGAGAGCTGCAAATTTTGTCCTATACTCGGCACTTACGGCCATTGAGCAGTGAGGGATCTTTTTCGTGCCAGCACCTACTGCGACACGGGACCTCGGTTTATACGGTCTCATCCGAAGGACCGGTCTCCACGTCCCACAGTGGGATTCGAACCCGCAACGTAAGGATCAACTCCTTACGCCGCGACTCTAGAGCAGACGCTCTAACCACTGCGCCACGCGGGCGACTTCCTAGTAAAGTAGAAATAAAAAGACACCATAGAGTCTGTCATATCTGGTTCATGTCTGGATGTTTACTGACTATAGACGATAAGGGTCAACTAACAATTTAATTTATGACAAACGAGATGCCATCAGCTTTTCCATTGTCAACCTTCCTTATTTATGCAGTAATATTCCGGTATCACTTGCATATGGTGTTTTTATCTCCAAACTTATTCGACACTCAAGAGCATGCCCTGATTTTTTTTAGCCAAGCCATGCTACTGACAGATAAGTTGATGTAACAGGGGTTTCAACACCCTTTTTGAAGAGGTTCACTCTTGGGCTTTTGAGCAGATTTTTGTCTTGACTATATTTAAAAAAATCTGCATAATGTTTTAGTTCTTACAATAAATTTGGATTCTACAATTATGGCAATTAAACTATATTCAGTTAAAACCCATGTTTACATTTCATATCAAAAGCATTAAGTGAGGAACTATATTTTGTGGTGGAAGGTTTTTTTTTCAAAAGAAAATCATCATTTTTCTCTTTTGAAGTATTTAAAGTATTGAATAAGTATTTTTTTTTCCATGCAGCCTGTGCACAGAGTTATTTTGTGCAGTAAACTGTTTTATGCAGGTCCTAAATTATATATTAAATAAACTGTCGTGAATTCGATCATCAAATTTGTTAAATAAGGCAAATATTTTTGAAAATCCAGAAAAAAAATAGCCCCAATTCATGCTTAAAATTAACACAGTTTTAGTAATGTCTAAAAATTAACATTACAGACCCCCACTTTTAATTTTCTTTTCTGAATATATAAAATACTTTTAACCATTTTTTCTAAAATTCAGTAAAATGTCATTGCTTTCTAATGATTTTTTTGCATGTTAAATTTTTAATGCCAGAAAAATGACATTTTTTGAGTGCAGAAAGGTCAAATAATTGACCATGCGAAGTAATTTGAAACACAAATTTTAATGTATCTATTCAAGATGAAATAAGACTGTGTTTGTTCCCATAATTTATTTGAATGAAAAAATATCGGATGAAAAACGTTAAAGATTAATTTATGTGTTAGATGCAATTACAGTTTAAAAAGGTCATACTAAATGCTCCGTTGCGCCAAAATAAGCACATTGACCCCCATTTGTTTTTTTTTTTTATTTTTAATTAAGCTATGTGTGTAGATTCTAAACATATACTTGATAAAAAATTTCACAACTTTTGATTGCAGGATCCAACCTTCTTAATGTCAGCATTTCGTAAATTCTACGGTCGTTATATTGACTTTGTTAACAAACATAACTTATTATTTGGCCGTATTTTGGCTAACGTTTTCCATATCAATTGTTAGGTTTTTGATTTTATATTAAATTTGACTACGTAATGTTCCATCTACCTGATCAATACATAGGACTCACGGCAGGTGTGTGACCGGACACCAGGGAATGTTAATTGATCCCACCTCTGCAATTTCCGTTTTATGCCCTGTTCACTGGTTTGTATTGTTTGTAGTTTTTGGATTGATCACTGATCATTATCTTCTTTTTTATTATTCCAATGTTAAAATTCTTAGACAAATGAAATATGAAAATTACGTATCGTAATCATTCTCGAATGCGATATTAAACATAACAAATTCAGAGCAGCTAGCTAGAGGAAACACAGCCCCTTGTAAGCATCAGAGGTTAGATAGGTTCCATTGAGGAGTAGCATCCCCTCTCGACCACATCCGCTGTGAGCCCTTTTGTCTTGAAATGCACCTTGTATGTTATAATTTCAGTCATTGTTCAAGTTCTTATTACTAATCTTTAAGGTTTAGATTAAGATATATATTGAGTTTTTCCGGGGCTTTTTACGCGTATATCGAAAGTGCGACAGAAAGAGTGAAATTTTCTCATAAAAAATTTACTAACATCTTGCATCCTTACTGTTTATATATTAAATCTCTTTTCGTAACAGAGAGTGAACTTTAAGCAAATTTTGCACAAAGCATCTAAATCTCCTTTGATACAGAAAAGTTGCTAACATGAAAAATCGTGGAACGTCGAAAGTACATATCCTAGCTCTTCTGAAATCCTTGCGCCCATTCTTCAAGACGAAGATTTCTATTAATATGGTCTTACTATTACATAAACTGCAAACATATTCCTTAAAAAATATTTTTCTTTCACGATAACCTTGTAAGAAATGACAAATAAAGAGGACATTTACAATACTAAAAGTTGCATGAGTCAAGTCATGTGTTTATTTTAAGACATTTGTATAAAAAAGCAAAAGATAATTAAAAACTATGAATATAATGAAGTCATGACAAACTCAACTGCTCTGGAAAGCAAGAAAAACTGCAAAATATAAGTGCCGGAAAAAGGTCGTATAAACCGTCATGTTGTTATCAATCATGTCAAGGTCACGCAACTTTCATTTTTAGTCGGTTTTTAACTAAAAAATAATAGTTTTATTTTAATAAAATTCAAGCTTTGAACATTCTTACCATAGTAAAAATCGTAAGCTTTCTTTTTACTTATATGATAGATTTAACATGCCTAAATTATTAGATGAATTATTCATTAGACGTGAAAACCTGTAGTCCCGACTGCTGTTGTGTACTTTGTTGCCTATCTTCTGATACAGCGTCCTGTACAAGCTGTACAAGGTCAATTATACGATTTTTTTCCTCCTACAACATAGTTTTCATAAACAAACAGAAAACATTCATTAGACAGTTTTCCCCCAACACATTGTATTACAAATACTAATACACAAGACCCGTTATGTCTGCATAGTTAGATCATAATTATATATTTCTTAAATAAAATTTTCAACAATTGAAGTACATGTATCTTTGCAACATATATACTATATAAAAATATGTATCTTGTTAAGCAAATTATATATATATATATATATATATATATATATATATATATATATATATATATATATATATATATATATATATATATATATATATATATATATATATAAAGAAAATGTATATATATTAAAGATCATGGATCTATTTTAATTGATGCATACCTGTAAAGCAGTTTGGATTGATTTCCGAATTAGTTTCTTCTCTTTTTTAAGCATCTCTTTAATTTCCTCCTGTTAACCAGATCAGAATTTTAATGATATCTTATTCTATTACATTTTCAACAGTGAAATACTGTAATTTATTCACTGAATAAAAGTGATATTCTGACACAGAGTGAAAGGATATCAAAATGGTATTCTCACAGTGTGAGAATATCAGAAGTGCGGCACAACGTACGATTTTCCTTCCCTTCACGAAGAGTATTTAAAAAAAAAAAACCGGCCTCTTATAAGATAGAGTTTATGAGCCAGCCTGACAGAGACTAATACTTATACTGCCAAATTTTTTTCCAAATATGTCGTTAAAAATCCATGTTTACAACGTTTTTCAATCTCGCAAACACTAATCTATGACGTCTCAACCGCTCAACTATGAAGTCACAGCCTATGAAAATGTAATAAACAGAAAGGAGCAGACAGGATTAATACGCGAGTTTCGAGATTGTAACTCTCCTTCGATAGAGGCGCAAAAAGTATCCATATCAGCATGGAAGTGGGACAGGTTGTTATTGTATACAATCTTGCATAAATAAAAGAACGATGGCTATGGCCTTTAAAATTTATTTGATGTTATAAAAAGATGATAATGCTAAGCAGTGATCATTTTGATGATTTTATAAAGCTCTTCTATACATATTTACAAAATTTACTTTCAGTTGGATACTCGAAAACGAAAGAACCGTCATAGTCTTTATTTAAAAAAAAATAATTCTTTGATTGTACAAACCTTTTCCAAAAAGTTATTTGAAGTAATTATAAGGAAAAGAGTAATTTAGAATGCCGACGTCCAATTCAATGATCAGATGCGTGTGTATTTATTAGAGATCCATATCTACTCAATCGTTTGATAAGTCTTATCCACTGATATTTTCTTTTGTTCCGATTTTTATTTCCTTTGGTTCCGTTTTTTTAAATTTATTTTTTCGTAGAAAAATTGACGCCTTTACTTTAATTCAGTAATGTGTACATACCGACAATCAGTTATCATAGACCGTTTTATCGATAATGCAATGCATCCAATATATAAATAACTGTCCCACCTGCCTGCTTACGCGGAAACAAAACTCCCCTCCGTAACGAAAGAGCGCACCAAGGGAGATAATCTCGAAACTTGCGTATTAATAGAATTAATGCATTTTCACTATATTATCAAGAGCCCCACCCTTACACCAGCACATCTGACTCAGGGGTCATGCAATTCACTACTCTAGAAGAAGCACTCTTGATCATCATAACTATACACTTAGCTTCTTTGCTTTTTTAACCAGAAGCAGAAAAGAATATTTTCAAAGAATTTTGCTTTTCACTATATAATCAATAGAATTTCCATGTCGTGAGACAGGTTTTTTTAAAATTTTCACTCGTGCTTCGCACTCGTGAAAATATCAAAAAATCCTGTCCCACTCGTGAAATAAATTTCATATTCATCTTCAAAACATTGAATATCTGCTATATATATATTTGTTTATTTACTAAACTTATTCAATGGATTGAATTGAATCTTCTGATTGCCATTTCAACCCAATTTAAAAAAAAATAATAAAGGAACATTCGTAATACGTAATTGTGGTCTTGTATTCAGAACCCTGTCTTTAGCAAGATTACAAGATCTAGCATTTGTGTGCATATAAATTTTGGCAGATTTATAGTTTGACGGTGCTAGAGATTTTTTCGCACATCAAAATAAAATGCTTTCAATCGAATCTGCTTAAAATTAGATCCTCAATTCAGCAGCACCCCCCAAGGATCAGATTTTTATATGATTGATTTTAACCTCTATTCTATCCACATACCCATGCCATGTATTAAAAAAATCCAAGTGTTCATTATAGCAGAAATCGTAAATCTCACAGGGATCCCAATAAGTTTTAATCTCTTAAATTTTCCTAGTTTATTTAAATTGTATTGAATATGGAAGGTAAATTTTTTGTAAAATCGGAGAATGGAATCTGCATTTTTTTAAAGACCATTTTTTTTTAACGAACGGTTACCTTGGGGGGGGGGGGGGTTCGAAAACCTATTAGGATCAAACTACGGGAAAAAAAATTTAAAAAGTGTAATAACTCGAAAAAAGGCTTAGTAACTCCTTTCCAAAAGGCGTAGAAACGCCTTTCCAAAAGGCGTTAGTATTATTATTATTATTATTATTATTATTATTATCTAAACAGATTGTAGTTAGATATCCAGGAATAAGGATTTTAAAATGCGGAATATATTTTCAAGGTTAAACCAACTTAGTCTTTCTCTGATACCAGACACCTGGACCAAGGGTCATGGATTTCACAATTTTGGTTGAAGGCTAATTGATCAATATACCCATAATACATGTAGTTTGCCACCTTTTTTTAAGAAGAAAGAAAAATATTTTCAAATGTGAAATAAAATTTTTATTTATGACCAGCAAAACCCCAAAATGCATCTGCCTAAATCCACAAGTAAAACGTTGACTTCGTTTAATACTCATTCAAACAGTTGTTTGCGAGATGTGCAGAAGTATAGAACATATCTTTAAATATTGCATAAATAAATACCACCTTTCTATTTTTCGCTACAACGCCTTTTCAAACAGGTACTGTAGTACGAGGGGGAACCCCATCCCCACTTTTTGGGAGATTAGTCTTGCTGTAGTTTTAATATTTAAAAAATCATATTTAGTTGCCTGGTCCCTGCACGTTTTGTTGCAGTATGGTCAAAGTCTGGCAAATTATTGCATTTAAAAAAAAGTTTTTCCGAACAGTTTAATAAAGATCAACCTCCCCCCCCCCCCCCACCCCCGGAATACAGTTTTTGAGTTATGGCAATTTAGGTTTTTTGTTTGTTTTATTTATTTATTTTTTCCCTGTTCGTCAATTTTTGCGGGGCTGCCCCTTTTAAAAACAAGGCGTAATTAACGGTTTTTGAAAGGCATAATAACGCCTTTTGAAAATTCGTAATAACGCCTTTTTGAAATTCGTAATGACGCCTTTTGAAAGGGCGTAATAACGCCTTTTGAAAGGACGGAACAACGCCTTTTTGAAAAGTGTAATAAAGCCTTTTTAAAAAGCTTAATAAAGCTTCTTTGAAAGGCGTTATTACGCCTTTTTTCGCGTTATAACGCCTTTTCACTTCGCGTTATAACGCCTTTTTTTTTTTTTTTTTAGCGGTAATACGCCTTTTGAAAAGGCATAATTACGCCTTTCATCTTTTTTTCACTCATGGATTGATCCTAATAGGCTTTCGTAAGGGAGTGGTCTTAGTAGTACTGGTGTTATTTACCTGGAGGACCCCAATACTCAAGATGCCAAAAACCCATATACACATTGCATTACACAGGAAGCCTGTCTGGTAATCAGTGTCAACATTACACACGTTTCTTTTCTAATTTTGGTTGAATCCAAATAATTTATAGATTAATGTTTATTGTGATATCATTTTTAGATATACGTATACCTTAAAATCCTGTAAGGATTCTTGAATGATACAATCAAATTCTTCTCTGAGGCTCTGCTTCATTTCCTGTAGTGTGGCTTCCAAGTTTTTGTTCTATAAGATATATAAAAATACATTTAAATTTGGATTTGATTAAAAGATAAAATTTATTAACAATTATTTATTTTTTCATTGTTAAATTAACTTAATGTTAACTTATGTTGACTTTTTAAACGTAAATTTAACAAGAAAAAAATAAGTTATGTGCGATTAAATAAAGGGTTTGACAAAATTAATGTGTTAATTTATTTTATATTAACGTTAAAATAAAGTTAAAAAATCATTTATTTGCCTTAAATTAACTTGAAACTCTATTGACTGATACCTTTCATTCAGAATTTTTGTACACGTATCAAACATTGTAATGCAAATATTAATATCTTAGGTAGGAACTTATAGATTGTAAAAGAAAAAGCCTAAGATCGCAGAAGCCAACTCGTGTTTCTGTCTCTACATGTATACAATGTAAATAAGATGAAAAACTTACTTGAGAAAAAAGTGCAGGCTCTTCATATGTTTTCTCTGTGTGAACACTTTCAGTCCTATCTGGTCTGTTAACCATCCTTTTTTCACTTTTATTGGCAGCAGAAGTACTGTGCCTATGGATTAGCTGTGATGTACTGGCCTCTTCCAGTGATGCAGGAGGCCATTGACTTTGGGCTAGAACTGCACTTTCCTCACCTTTTTCGGCTTTTATAGAATTAGGCGAATGAACTGAAGGAGAATAAGAATCTTCACCACTTTTTCCATTCTGATTTTCTGGTGCTTTTGAAGACCTGGACTCTCCATAAAGGCTTGAATACAGTGCACATTGTTCAGACATATTGTTGGAGCGTCATTTACACATTGTAGTATTCTATAATGAAATATGGACATAACGAACAGTATTCAAGCTCTAAGTATATTTAGACAATACAGATCAGGAGCAGAGCGAACAGGGACTTCCAAAAACATCAGAGGTGGGATCAGGTGCCATGAAGGAGTAAGCATCCCCTGCCGACTGGTTACACCCACCGTGTACTCCTTGTCATGATCGGGAAAACGGAAAAATCCGTAGACAGTTCAGTGTGTAAATAATGGTCTAACAATTAGTACGAAAAACGTCAGTCAGCATTTGACCTAATGATAGGTTGTATTTGCTGACAAGGTCATTGTATCGACCCTAAAACTTGTGAAATGATGACTTCAATGAGACTGTTGATATCCTTGTTTCATCAATTTTTTTATCAATAGCTTGCCTCGTTTAAGAAATTGATCATACGTAGAGCATGGTCTTGTGTATCGAATCAACTGGGAGACAAAAACCCCATATGCAGGTGAAAAGCGTAAATTGCTACATAAGTAAGGGAAGCTGACGATTGATAAATTGAAATCAACACGTTTATCATAAAACTTTGTTGTTAGGTTACCATTGAAGTCTTTTTTGGTAAAATATCCAAATATGAAACAGATGTTTAGACTCTGTGGTATCTTTTTTTTTCAAGCTCACTGGGATATATCGAGTTGATATATGAATGGAAGTAACTAATTGTTAATTGATAATACGTCGTCGATATATCTTAATGTCGAATTGAAGGCCTCATCAAGCATTTTCTCCTTCCTATGTAGAAGTTTTTGAATAAATTTTGCTTCATATGAATATAAAAATAGGTCTGCTAACAAGGCGCAATTGGTACCTATGGGAAATTCCAACAGATTGTTGAAAGACCGATCTCCAAAAACTACATAAATATTGTCAATCAGAAACTCAAGCATCTTTTTAATATCAACTTCAGAGTCCTTGTGTGTACAATCAGAATGCTTTTTAACAAAATAATTATGCAAGCGACCGATGACAAGGTAAGTATATTTACGTATTTACGAGTTCCATTTTTATTGAAAAAGCAACTGTCTATGATGTCAAAAAGCCTGGAATTTATCGTAGGGAATGGTTGTATAAAGTGTTGAAAATTCGTACGTTTTGATGCTATTGATTTTGTTAAAATTTTGTTAATTCAAAGTTTCTAAAGGTTCCTTGGAGTTTTTAATTATCCACATCTGATTTACACCACTTCTCAAATATACTGAAGTTTCTCCTTCACTGCTGTAAATATTTTAGCAAGGAATAAAGACATTTACTGAAAGCTGCTATGTATCTTTGTTAGTAAGGATTTTTATGGAGTTTTGGAATCCAGTATTAGGTATGGTAATTCAAATTCATTTTGATTAATGGGAATATTAAAAATATTTAAAACTGGCATGTGCTTTTGAAGAATTTCTTCCTTAGAAAGGGAGCTTTGGGTATAAGTTGGATTAACACTTGCAGAATAAAATCAAATTTGAAGCCATAAGCTCACACCAATATTCATCATATCTCTAGTATTTATGTTTTTATCAATATAGCTGTTTTGTAAAATTTGCAAAGGATATTTCAGAGCAAGCGGGGTGGTTATTGGGGAACTATATGCAATTAAAGAAAATAAATGTGCAATCACGCCGTCTTTCGTGTAAAAAGAGAAAAAATATATCCCAAAAGTATATAATCGCTTTTTGGTCATATGGTAACTAATATATTCAGTTCAAATTTCCCAGTAACCTTTGTTGCATCTTCAGTTGTTGAATCTAAAAGGTCCAACTAGGTAATTATTCTATCACACGGCTTATGAATGCAATGTAAATAAACTTTCAATATCTTCTTTCACTTTTGCATTAAATTCTAAAAATCGGTCAGTAACCAATAATAAAAACGAGTACAGCTATTAAACAGACGTTTAAGTTTAATAGCTATGTACGTATATGAAGTATTTCATTAGGATTTCCGGCTCACTTATAAAAGCCTCCTTCATATGCGCCCATTTACACAGTGTAAATTTTACACATATGCAAATTTTACTCATGACATGTAAATTTAATTTTTGTAATGTGTTCACATGCACAAACTATCTCAGTGATTTTGGCATTTCCTAAGCACTTTATAAATACTTAGATTGCTTGTTTATAATTTCTAGTATTTCTTCAACTCCTGTTATTGTCATATGTACTAATTAAAAGAACATTTGCTTCTATGCCAGACTATGCATTTCGCCTTCTTGTTCAAATGTTACTTAAATCAATATTTGAATTTGTCGACACATCATCGGGTCACTGCTCTTCCTAATATAGGGTATGATATACTTTTCAACAATTTCAATATCTACACACGTGAGCAAATTTTGATAGCGTTTACATTTACTAATATGTGAAATTTAACTTGCACCTCGTGCTAGGAGTAAAATTTTTTATGTGCAATCCCCCCCCCCCCGTTCACATACCCCAAAATTGACCCAGGGACTAATGGACTCTTTAAGTAAAATTTGCATACGGTGAGTAAATGGGTGCATGTGAACAGGAATTATATTGACCAGTTGTCCGTTTTCGGCCGAAGTCGTACACCTTTCATGACGTGAATCTTCCTAAAAATTTGAACAATTTCAGATTCTTTTCATAAACCAAGATTGTAATCTATGAGTGAACAGTCTTCGGTTGTCTTAGGGGCGACACGATTTTACAGAGGCGAGTTGTCCTGATTCTGCATCCTTTGGTCCCTCTATACATGTATATATAAGCCCTAGGAACCTGAGTGAGTTTGGAGTCTCCTTTCCACTTTAAACTTTAAATATTGAATATATGACATTATACGAAACTATGCACACTACAATTCGTTAACAGGAAAGAATATAGACCATGAAACACAAATATTTGTATTGAAATTGACTTTGGATTTCACATTTTTAGTCTTTATCTGCCAACTCCTTGCTCAAAATACAAGACAATAGAAGCTTGTCATTGAGTGAACTGAACATTCTTTGAACAGTGAAATTTCTTATTTGCATATGTCTTTTCTAAAATATGACACACATATATGATCATTATAATTACATAAACCCCTTACTCACACACTTTTTCCGTTAGATAAACGGGTAAAGGACAGGGAAAATGCTTTTGACAAGCTTAATTTCGGATGGATAGATACATAGCTTAATCGATTTGATAAGGTCCCAGTTTGTATTGATTACTACTTATGAAGATAAAAAAAAGGGGGGGGGGGTCTTAATATTTTTGCAAATGGTAAAAAAAATAAAACTATGAATTCTCAAAATTATTCAGTTATGCAAAATTCCTGCTATCGAATGAGTTAGGCTGACAGATTTTGAAGATTATACATTCATAGGTACCTCTATGTGCATATAACATCCAAAGCATTTTTTGCATTTATCTTTGTGTCGTTTTTCATTGTATGCGCTTAAATGCGGAAATTGCTTTTGACACGTATGACGTGCCGTACACACACTTGATATATATTCTATTAGTATATATAAATGCAACAAGAATCCCTGTCTGCTAGACCTAGTATGATTCCAAAGGAAATACACGTGTGTCCCTACTACATTGTATTACATTTGATCATGTTGATGTACTATAGAATAAACCTAATCAACGTGATAAAACTGGATTCCTGGAACCAAATTTACTTTCGATTTGATTAATGATCTTTATAATTTATTTTAATGTACCATATATTTTGCCTTTTCTTTTTTCATATGATGTTTCGATTTGCTTGTATAATGTGTAGACGGCTTTTCCAAGTCATTTTCAGGGATGAGAAATAATCATATTTTACATAACTTTCACAATTTAACATAATGTTATCCTTTTTATATCTATCATAAAAATGTATCTAGTTTCAGGTTGAAAACCTCATTTTTGACAATGTTAACTTATAAAGTGTTTTAATCAAACAATATTTACCTCATGGAGAAAACTGTGATCAAGATTTATCTCTTCCGAAATCTTGCGCTATATTATTCCTGTCAGAATATGTCCTTCAAGAAATCCAATGATCAATGTAATATTTTACATCTGACTGTCAGTGGATCCTACTTAATTGAAATTTCAGTAAAATTTTATCACATGTACATTAACAAACACAAGATTGTGTCCAAATTATAGTTCCGTCAAGGCAAAGGCTTTTATTTCCTATTGCTCACAAAACAAAATGATATACGGATATACCTTCCCGTCTTTTTGCAATATGATACATAGGCAAAGATTGATTGTATGTTGTTTTACATCCCGTTCAAAAAATTTTCACTCATAGAGACGTCACCATATACCGGTGAAGGGCCTCAAATTTAGACCTTTACTCGGCACTCAGGGCCATTGACCAGTGAAGGTTCTTTATCGTGTCAACGCCTACTGTGACACGGGGCCTCGGTGTTTAAGGTCTCATCCGAAGGACCCGCAACTTTCACTTCAAAGTGCCGAGCGCTTGGCGAAGGAACAGTTGCTACCTATTTTTATCGACTTAGGTCAGTCGCGGCCGTGATTCGAATACACGAACTTCCGATCACGGAGCGAGCACTCTACACATGTACACTGTAGTCAAAGAAATGTATAAATTGTTAAATATATAAAAGGATTCATACATACAGTTTTTCGTAAACATGTTATCAGGAAGAGAAAAATGATTATAATAAATATAATTTTTGCATTTATCTATTCTTTAACACATTAATTTTGATAAATAGGAATATATATCCGTAGAATATGAGTGCTCGAATCAGGAATTGCTAGGCCTAAAAATACAGGGAACCTTAAGATCACTTTTCTCCAAAGTTAAAATTCGTCCCAGCAAGATTTACTACATACTTTTTTAGTGCGATTCGTGATTTAGATTTATATATTCGATGCATGGACAAAAAAAAAATATTATCAATCCTATATAAAATTTGCCACTTACGATTTGCTCTTTCAAAAGACACGAAACAGAAAATGAGAAAAAAGTTCAGAAAAAGGTAATGCCAGAAAATATTTACAATGTACATGTATCTTGTATAAAGTTTGATGAATGTATATTGCACATTTTTAAAAGAATGTGATGTAAAGTCTAATAAACCATGGGAAAAGAGAACCAGTCAGAAAATTAGAACACATGAACAGTTAAATATGAGTCCTACACTTTGTTTAAGGTTTAATGAACTTATCTTATAAAAATTTCCACCAAAGGCAAATTTGTCATTGTTGAAACAGTTTTAAGAGTAGCAAATTTTGTTAATATTCTTACTTGTTCTAGTCTGAGAGTTACTACCAAACAAACCGTAGTAATGAAGTTAAAAAAAAGTTAGACTATAATTATCTTGGAAAACTGTTAAGTAAACTATTTTTTTTTTATCAACTTCATGCTATGGTGTGCTACATGGGTTGTAACTCTCAGGCTACAATAAAAATTGCCTACGCATCATGTTTCATCAAGTTTAAAATGCGGAAACCAGTTGGACAATTGGACATCCAAAGTTTCCATTTCATTGTAAAAACTTAGCGGAAACTAGAAGTAAGATTAAGTTTCCACAGAATTTTAGTAGTGTTTTAGCCATTCGGAAACTTTTTTCATCCAGTGGAAAGGAGAGAAAGAAGCTGGAAATGAAAAATCAATACATGATCTGGTAATGTATATATATGTGTCCATAACACAGAATGTAAAATGTAAAGATATCGAATAGTGATAAGCCCATAAATCCAATTAAGAATGAAATATGTGGAGATAACGAACAGTATTCGAGCTCAACTGTCCATTAAACATTACAAAATAGGAGCAGAGCAAACACGGACCTCCAAACATCAGAGGTGGGATCAGGTGCCATGGAGGAGTGAGCATCCCCTGCCGACCGGTCGCACCCGCCGTGTGCTCCTTGTCATGATCAGGAAATAACGGAAAAATCCGTCGACAATTCATTGTGTAAATAATGGCCTAACAATACGTATGATAAAGGTCAGTCAGCATTTGAGTTAATGAAAGATTGTATTTGCTGACAGGGTCATTGTATTGACCATAGAACTTACGAAATGATGACTTTAAACGATCGAGACTGCTGATATTCTTGTTTCATCAACTTGTTTGTGAATAAAAATCATAAACAGGGGAAAACACGGATTCCTGAAATTACCAAAGTGGGATCAGATGACTAGGAGGAGTAAGCATCCCCTGTTGACCAGTCACATCCAACTTGAACCCTTTGTACTGATAAGGTAAAAGGAGTATTTCGTTATTAATTTGAAAAAAAAACAAACAACAAATTGATGGCCTGACAATTGGGGTTATAAGTGGCGGGAAACATTTCATGAATTCTGAAGCAGGATCTTGAGAGGTATTCGTGAATAATCATTCATATATATACATGCGGAATTACTTGTAGTTTGCTGAATTAATTCGTGTTAAGGTCTTTATATACATATAGTGAAAAGGAAAAGAAACGCAGGGTAAATTTTGGAAGTGATTTAATGTTTTAATTTTTTAAATGTATTTTCATGTATTGTTATGTACCATTCGAACTTATCTTTTAATAAACAAGAAGCCAAAATTTAATTTGATTTTGACTGATATTTAATGAGTTATTGAATGACGTACCTCCCAAAAGTGAAAATAAAAAAATCGCATTATCTCCTATGCATCCCTTGTGCATCTTTCACAGCCTTGATTCACCTTTGCATGGAGATCATCAGTGTATTTACTTTTCTCATATAGATATTATCCAATCCTTACGACAAGGCAGCCTTTAGTTGGTCGAGAGTAGCTTGAGCATTCCGACGCCTTCAAACCCTACCGTCCAGTTAGTCCCACAGATGTTCGATTGGAGAAAAAGATGGACTTTACAGAGGCCAGTCAAATGGGTTACTGTGATTATTTGCAAGAATGTCTTTACAAACTCTGGGTCTGGGTTAACATTTTGACAAATTAGACGTACAACGCACACGTGCGAGAGTAAAAGGAATACCGACTAAAGTTTCTTGGCTCACAAACCGAAATTGCACAATGGGTTTCTTTCAATTTTATGATGAATGTAACAATAATGATTGCCCACTGTATTAAAAGCTGTTTCAGTCGTAGTGAAGTGGCGATTAAACAGGTGGCAGGATCAATAGCAAAATTTTGACGATGCTTTGTTACGCGCCAACGTCATCGTCACGGTTTATTAGAAACTCTTCAATTTCTTTTCTGACTACTGGGGTGGAAAAATGTACAACAAACTGCACAGTAACTTGTTGCTGCCTTTTTCTTTCTTTAAGCAAGGCAACAGTCAGGCCCCATGGAACTTCCGTCAACCCTTCCATGATTGCAAGAAATTCAAGTTGGCTCTAAATATTGCAAAACGGTGTGTATACCAAGTACTTCCAGTGCATCAAGTGGTATTACAAGATGTACTGACAAACATTTAATCTTATATGCACGTGTTTTTGGCTTATTGCCATTTTCCCTACGTGACGTCATACATTTCACAGTTGAGTTTCTTAACACAGTACCCAAGATACCCCTCTGACCAGATTTCATAATTTTCGGCCATGCAGTCGAAAAATTTTCGCAAATATTACTCTGCATATTTTTCCTTTCAGTATATTTACATCTCCAACTGTTTTCTCTTTAAAAACTCGTTGAAAGTTAAGTGAGTTAATTTATATATATATATATATATATATATATATATATATATATATATATATATATATATATATATATATATATATATATATATATATATCTATCTATATCTCAACTTTAAAAGTAAAGTAAATCAAATGTAATATTTTTTATTCAAAATTAATAATTTATAAATTTGATTTGTACATAACGCATTCAAAGGTATTTGTGACTGTAAATCCTTTTCTTTATGACCTTTCAACAGTAGTAACTTAAAATGGATATAAAATTGGAGAATCATAGTCAAGGGTATTTTTCTGTAGAAGTACCTGGACGCCGTCAAGATACCAAATTGATGCACAGCTATATATTTTTATACATATACAGACAAAAGATTAAAAGTAAAATATTAAGGGAAATATAAAATATCAACTTCATGGGTGAACATCTGATACATAATTCCTTTAATTCGTAACTGCTTTCTACTTTTATACGTAAGCCAAATGCAACGAAGCTTTTTTCCCAGGTAATTAAAAAGGTTTGTTTCTTCTGTATAAAGAGAGACATCATTTACAAAAGAAAGAGCAGAGCAGGAAACAGAAGAATTGTTGCAGAATCTGTATGTTCTTTTCACGAATCATATTTTTACACTAGATGTGGAAGGAGAGAATGCAAGTCCAATACGACGTCCATAGACACAAAAAATCGAGTATTCAAAAAGTAAATGGAAAGAACACAATGTTTTATTATTATTATTATTATTATTATTATTTTTATAGATTTTTAGCCATCTTTAAACAATTCCAAATATAGAAATACAAGTATGTATTACACCTATAGAATCACACATTATTTAGGGCACACAGCTGATATTCACAATTCTATTGCCAAACTTTATTACTTAAATACAGATGACCAATTATAACAATTTATGTCAACAATTCATTGATATACATAAAGCAATATGACTAAAACAAAATGTTTCAGTCAATTATGTTAGTAGACTTCCACAGATACTAGTAATGAATCCAATCAAATATTCTTGTAGTAATATTTGGTCTCCAAGTTGAAAAAAAATATGATAAGCACTGATACAAGTCACACTGACTTACAAGCGTGACAGAAGTGCACCTGTTCCTGATGATGTTTGAGCTGGTTTGATATATTTGTAGTAAGAATCTAGTACCTACAACAAAATAAAAATAAAAATCTAGTATATGTATTAGTAAAATCTTAATTATTTTTTCACAAAATTTTATCTGAAAATTACTGAATACATTTGTAAAAAAGAACAGAATTTTGTTCATACATGTACCTCTTTTTCATTCAGCGGGGATTCTCTGGCATATTCATAAAGAGCCTGATAAACCTGTCCATCATATCGCCCCAAACAACTATCAAGTACAGAATCTGGATAATCGAAGGCATCCACTAAAGCCACTGCATTGGGCCTTATCTCTTTTAATAATGAAGTCAGCTTGTTTTGTAAAATTTGAATTTGATCAGAACTGAAAAAACCATCCTGAAACGAATTTTAAAAGTGTAAATTTTCCTTTCAATCATTTTTGTGACCTAAAATCTAATTCAGTTGTCGGAAAATATAAGGAAAAAAGAAGTTACATACATAATACAATGTATATTTTTTAAAGATATAAAACTCAATAAACAAACAGTATAGTAAAATAACACATTTAATATTAAAGTTAAAAAGGAAGCTCAATATTAGTTCTTTGCATATGCATTATATTTATAGTTATTTGCAGTTATATTTAAAAAGTTTTAAGGCTTTTATATATGAATGAATATAAAGATTACCTGGATAAATTCTCCAAGGTTTGTAATGATTCCATGAACAGCATAGAGCTTACATAGTGACATCATCACACGTTTAGTTTTGTCATCTAGATATCTCTCAGAGAGAATTTTCACAAAATTCTCAACAACAAACGCATGACAAAATGCCTGTAAAACCATTTATATATGATTTGTAAATAAATAATATAATTATATTTGCCACAGCATCTGAAGTGCAGTTATAATATCAATTTTCTTAAAGAGTGGGTAAATGAGGTCACTTATCCGAATATATTTACCCTACTAGCCCAAAACAGACGGACTGTTGAAGAATTCCATGCTTCCTGCTGACTTTTGCCTTTACTGACCAAGTTCTGAATATTGTTGGAAGCATCTGATACTAATCTATCATTTCACAAAAAAGAGAAAATGTTAAACAGAAAACATTTTAAAATATATTGTATTTTTCTTAAAATGAAATTAGACATAACTGGAAGGAAATGGGATCAAATACAATTAACTGATGCTTTGCACATACCTTGCAACCCTGTGATTGTATGCCATCACAAGACATTTGAGGGCAACCTCATCTGTCATGCAAGACTGCTTGGAAAGGTCAATTCCTAGACATTGTGCAAGGGTTGGAAGAGGTTTCCCTTGCACCATGTTGGCATACTGCTTCATAAGAAACCTGAAATAAAAATGTAACATCAAACAAGAGGCCCAAGGGCCTTAACGGTCACCTGAGTATGATACAACAATTTCAAGGATGCATAGAGTATAAAATGAACTGAAAGGTGAAGCTTTGTTGCCCAAAAGCAAGAAAAATAGGTTGATTATGATCAACAAAATAATTGGTCTTAATATTCATTAACAGTTCATAAATTAGGTTCTAATCTGTTCCCCATTTATCACTATCACTATACAGTATATTAACAAATTATCAATGCTTCTGTACTATTTTAATCCTTTGTTGAAATCTCTTACATTGGCATCTCTTGGTCTTTGATGAATATTTAATAAGACAAGTTATTTTTGTCTCATTTTTATTTATCTACTACTTACAAGTCTATCTGATCATTAAAACTATGAAAGTACTTTTTGTATTATACAATAAAAGTTTTTGCATAATTCTCTTATTCTATTTACCTTTCAAGTATATTATTTACAGTGATAAATTATCAAAAGTAAATGGCAAAGGGGAATAACTCCTCTCAGTAGAATACAAACTAATAGAGCCCTGGGCAGGACCAGAACACTTGACCAAATGGTCCAGATGTTCAAAAATCTGGTAAAAATTCCCTTCCTTGTAAAAACTTTTACTCTGTTTGCCTCAGATATGCCCAGGTGCGGAGAAGATTTTTAAATAAATAATGCATTTTTACTACAGATTCACTATATTATCAATAGAGCCCCCAACCCCCACCCCCAAAACACCAGAGCTTCTGACCCCGGGACCATATGTTTGCTCATCATCACTTTGTTTATCAGCTTAACACTAAGGAGCAAACAGGATTATTTAATAGAATTAATGCATTTTCACTAAATTATCAAGAGCCCCACCCTCACACCAGCACATCTGACCCAGGGGTCATGAAATTCACTACTCTGGAAGAAGAACACTTGCTCATCATAACTATACACTTAGCTTCTTTGCTTTTTTAACCAGAAGAAGAAAAGAATATTTTCAAAGAAATTTTGCTTTTTCACTTTATAATCAATATAAGCCCCCCCCCCCCCCCCCTTTCACCAGAACCCTTAAACCTGGGGTCATAAAATTCACAATTTTGGAAGAGGCATCCTTGTGTATCATAACAATGTACTTTAGTCTGTTTAAGCAATACCCAGGGGCAGAGAAGAAGATTTTCAAAGAAATAATTCACCTTCACTATAGGATCTATGTAGCCCCGCCCTAACACCAGAACTCCTGTCCCCAGGGCCATGAATTTCACAATTTTGGAAGAGGCATCCTTGCTTATCATAACAATGTACTTAGTTTGTTTAAATAATACCCAGTTGCTGAGAAAAAGATTTTTAAAGAATTAAAACATTTTCACTTTATAATCAATAGAGCCCCGCCCTAACACCAGAACCCCTGATCCAGGGGCCACAAATTTCACAATTTCGAAAGAGGCATCCTTGATTATCATAACTATGTATTTAATGTGTTTCAATAATACCCAGGAGTAGATAAGAAGACTTTCAAAGAATTAATGCATTTTCACTATATAATCAATAGAGCCCCACCCTAACACCAGAACCCCTGACCCAGGGGCCATGAAATTCACAATTTTGAAAGAGGCACTCTTGCTCATCATAAGTATGTACTTAGTTAGTTTATTTAATACCCAGGAGCAGAGAAGAAGATTTTCAATGAATTAATGCATTTTCACTATATAATCAATAGAGCCCCGCCCTAACACCAGAACCCCTGCCCCTGGGGCCATGAATTTCACAATTTTGGAAGAGGCACTCTTACTCATTTTAACTATACACTTAGTTAGTTTATTTAATACCCAGGAGCAGAGAAGAAGATTTTCAATGAATTAATGCATTTTCACTATATAATTAATAGAGCCCCACCCTAACACCAGAACCCCTGACCCAGGGGCCATGAAATTCACAATTTTGAAAGAGGCACTCTTGCTCATCATAAGTATGTACTTAGTTAGTTTATTTAATACCCAGGAGCAGAGAAGAAGATTTTCAATGAATTAATGCATTTTCACTATATAATCAATAGAGCCCCGCCCTAACACCAGAACCCCTGCCCCTGGGGCCATGAATTTCACAATTTTGGAAGAGGCACTCTTACTCATTTTAACTATACACTTAGTTAGTTTATTTAATACCCAGGAGCAGAGAAGAAGATTTTCAATGAATTAATGCATTTTCACTATATAATCAATAGAGCCCCACCCTAACACCAGAACCCCTGCCCCTGGGGCCATGAATTTCACAATTTTGGAAGAGGCACTCTTACTCATCATTACTATATACTTAGTTAGTTTATTTAATACCCAGGAGCAGAGAAGAAGATTTCCAAAGAATTAATGCATTTTCACTATATAATCAATAGAGCCCCGTCCTAACACCAGAACCCCTGACCCTGGGGCCATGAATTTCACAATTTTGGAAGAGTCACTCTTACTCATCATAACTATATACTTAGTTAGTTTTTTTAATACCCAGGAGCAGAGAAGAAGATTTTCAAAGAAATAATGCACTTTCACTATATGATCTATATAGCCCCGCCCTAGCACCAGAACCCCTGACCCTGGGGCCATGAATTTCACAATTTTGGTAGAGGACTCAATGCTTATTAAAATGATGCCACAGTTTGACTGCTTGATGTCCAGGAGTAAAGAAGAAGATTTTTAAAGATTGCATTAATTTTGGTGGTTTTAGCCCCACCCCTCAGGCCCACGGGGGGCAGGGACCATGAAATTCACAATTTTTGTTCCCCTTCACCCATAGATGCTATATGCCAAATTTAGTTGAAATTGGTTGAGCGGTTTCAGAGAAGAAGCTAAAAATGTTCAAATGTTAACGCACATCGCACGACGCACGACGACGGACAAAAACGGATAGCAATAGGTCACCTGAGTGACTCAGGTGACCTAAAAAGACTAATCCTGATAACCATCACTTCCTATAATAAAACAGTAGAGTTCTACATCCTAAGTTTATTTCAGTAGATTAATTGATGGACAATTCTGTAATGGATCTTCTGCCATTGTTTTTTAAAAATAAAAACATGGCTTTTTGGTGTAAAAAATGCATTTCAACATCTGAAGAATATACAACTTTTAAGTAACAGTATAGGTGAAAATTTTGATTAGTAGAATACTGTTGGAAAAATTACACAAAACAAGGAAAACCATATAAATTAACAACCTTGCAACTTGAAGCATAAGAACCATATTTTCTCCTTCGTAGGTACAGGCTGGTGTACAATCTACGTAGATTTTGGGTAGTCCACTAGCATGAGAGTAACCATGTCCGCCGCAACACTGTCGACATGTTTCTACTCCCTCAGAGCATGCCCAGGAGCTGAAGGCCTTCAGTCCGGCACTCATAGCGTGCAACTTAAACAACAGAAATAGCAACACTCAAGGATAGTTCTACCTTCAACATGGACATGACTAAACTAAATATGACAAACGTTAAAAATCGTTGGAAGATTTAGCCAACTATTATTATGATTGTCATTGTCTTGTTTTCTGTTAAAAAATATTTAACTGAATTTTAAAAAAAATACACCATACAGAATACCAGCAGACCTTGAAAAATAAAAAGTAATAATCATCTGCCTTTTTATTATGCATTTATAGTATATGTGAAATTTAACAATCATATACAATGAATTTGGTGCCATTGATTTCAAACGTAACAATGCTGCATAATCATGTAATATTTTCTGGGTTCCATTTGCTGATTTTGCAAAAAAATTAGTAGGATTTTTGTTCGTTTGAAACCGTAATTGTCTCACAGTTAGGATCATCGCATAAGTTATAATTAATAACACCTCTCAAAATCTCTGATAAATGCTAGAGAAGATATAATGCTGATGAGATAACTGGTCAAATAATTTCATATCTACTGACAACTAAATTCTGATAAAATGAAAGCATTCTTAAAATGTCAAATTAGTGTAAAGAGATAAAATAATATTTTATTTGTAAATCTTCAACGAATAAAATTATGGTGAGCAAAATTAAATAGAATTCAGAATAAATATTGCTTCAAAATATTTCATCTAGAAAAAAAAAAATCAGATTTCTAATATTTTCTCCTGCATAAATGACTTTTATATTGTTTTAAAGTTAAGCTGAAGTTTATTCATTCATCAGTTCCAAAATAATAAAAGAGAAGTGCCAGCAAGGCCTGCAAAATGCCTATATCTTTAAATGTGTAAAAATCAAATTATCGGAAAAAAAACTCTCCCGGCAAAAATTATTCTAAGGTAAAAAATCAGGATTTCTTGGGATTTGTACCCAAACAATAAAAATCCTGAGTATGTTTTTAGAGACTGACATGCTAACCATTACACCACCCAGCTCATAATAGGTAGTGCTATTTAAATTTTGTTTGTGATATGACCATTGAATAACTGGACTTCAAATTTTCTTGGAAAAATACGATTTTTTGTTGTAAAAGTGTATTTTTACAGTAGAGTGGGTCCCTGTTCCATTTTTTTTGTTAAGCAAAAAAAAAATGTAATTTTTTTTAACATATTTTAAGATATACTTTCAAAAACAGGGGCGATTTAAGACCCACTTATATTGAAAAATGTGTGTTATAGTATGGAGAAAAGATTATTTTTACCCTCTTTGGTATAAGTAAGCTATCTCAAAGACGAATAATTTTAACAATTGGCAGATTGTTGCAATGTTTGGAAATTTTACATAAAATATTATATGCTCTGCAACATAGAAGAATGTTGTTTTACAACTGAGATTTAATTTTTCACTTTCTTATTTATCGAAGCATAGACATTTTGATCTGCTTGTTCGCCCATCTTGATTTTAAAAATGTATTTTAAAAAAAACTCCAAAAATATCATTTACTTGTGGTAAGTACTCGAAGTTTCCTGCAGCAATTTCTGGATACTTGATTTTGTAGAAATTAGATATGAATTCCCCTGCAAAAATCATGGCAAATGAGGTGGCTAAAAGAGGAAAGAGTTTGTACTGCTGGGTTTGGTAGTCAATTATCTGTGCCTCTTCCCCTCTGTAAAGGAGAAACAACATCACTTAAAAAAACAATGTTCTTTACCTGTAGATGTAAAAGGTGAAGATGACGAAAAGTGATCAATCTCGTGAATCCAGTAAAGAATATAGATGGTGAACCGAGCAAAAAAAAAAAAATAAATAAATAAAATAAATACATGTAAATAAATAAATAAATGCAATAATTCCTTTTATTCTATCACATTTCATCAAACATAATTTATATTACTTTAATTTGCACGTTCAAAAAATAAAGCGAGAAAAAACTGAGATATCCAAGGGTTCAAAATATTGAGGGTAAAATACTTAAAGAAAAAGTGATTGGGACTTGAACTCACTTCGACATATCCATGGTATTCCAGATATCAGTATCTGAGATACCGAAGCTCGGCTGTATTTTAATTTGCATGTTCAAAAAATAAATCTATGTCATATTCATGTATATCAGTACTCTACATATTTGAGACTTTTGAGTCATTTCTAGGAAACACATTTTATGCCCTGTTCACACGGAGAGTTTAATTCGAATTAAACGTAAGTTACTGCGAATTAAATTTGATCCGCGTTCACACGGAGAATTTAATGCGAATTAGTTTAATTCGAATTAGTTTACTGCGCATTAAATTACTTCGCATTAGCTCCGTGTGAGCGCTAAGCGAAGCTGATTCGAATTAAATTTTGACGCATGCATAAGGGCAGAATTAAGTCACAGGCCACACGTCGAAGGTCAAATATAGGTACTTGTGCTATTTTTGAGTGGAAAACAAAGGAAAATTATGTAAATCACTAAAATGTGTACAGACACTATGACATTATGTCAAATGTATGTCTGCTCTGCACAATATGACGTGATTTGTAAATGACGTCATAATAGCCTCACTGAATAGCCTTGTTGTAGAAATAAAATTATAATTCGCATTAGTTTACTTCGCATTAGTTGTCGTGTGAACGCAATTTAATTCGCATTAGTTTAATTCGCATCATTTTACTTCGCATTAATTTACTGCGAATTAAACTCTCCGTGTGAACAGGGCATTAATAAGATAAAGGACAAATGACAATAATTTTATCTCATCTGTCAAGCTGTATGAAGCTACATTGTAATTCTCATTTTGTCAGAATATCATTATACATAAGCCAAAACTAAGCCTTTTGTAATATTAATCATAATTTTTAATATTCAGGGACACAGTTGGTGAAAATAGATTGGTCAAAATGAATTGTTATCATGCTAAGCTCAATCATTGTATTGTCATTTTACAAAAAAAAAAAAAGATCATTAATAAACTATTCCATCAGATATGACATCTAGAGAAGAGGGAAAATAAATTAATATCTTTTGCATTCTACATAAAAGGGTCAATTGCCCTTCATAGAGCAGAGAGAACTGTAATTAATCAAAAATACATTCCCAAAACTAATTCAATAATTTAAGAACAGCTGAAAAAAGTTCATATAATGTTTTCAGATAACAATCTTCTGGGTTCTTTATTTTCATTTATATTTTTGGTACAATTAGATGAATTGTATAATTTTAGAATCTGGCCTTTTTAAAAAACATTTTATTAGCAACGTTAAATTCAGATGTATCAAGCAGCTGAAAAATATCATCACATTTTGATATTTGCAGTCAGAATATGGGTAAACTGTAATAGAACAAAATATATTGATATCATTTTTGTTCCATGACTTTTTCAAGGATTTATATAAATCAATCTAATCTATAAAACTAACACACCCTGGTCTGATCTCTGTTTGCCTCCGTACTGCGCTGTAACGGATAGCTATAACACAGGCCTCTGAAAGACATTCTGCTGTTGAAGCTGTTATGGAACACCTCAAAAGAACCATAGAACCATAGGCTAACTTGTCACTTGGAGGTTTAACGTATGTTCCATCTTTTAAGACCTTTGTAAAAAGTTTCACAAAAAAATAATACATTAATTTCTTGAAAGAAGAATAGGTACTTTTGATAAAACAGAATACATGTCACTAGACTGGTCAATTGTCAGGGATTTGTGTTTGAATCCTAACAAAGGTTACAGGATGATTCATCAGTTTTGAAAAAAAATGTAACATTTTTAGATTCTTTTCAAATAAAGCTGACTTAAATTTTTACCTGTGAATCGTGGGACAGTTGAGATACTCATCACAATGACATACTGAGAGCATAATATACTTCTCATGGACATAAAGATTACTAACCTTTTACCATACAAACAAAAGAAATTTTAGTAACTAGAAAGATAATTATCAATTAACTAAAAACACCTTAGAGTATTTCATGAGCATGTTCTCTCTTGGAATGCGGACATTATCCAGCCTTAAATATCCATTGTCGATTTCCTCAAATCCGAACTTTGGACCGATGTCCCCTACTTCTACACCTGAAATTTAATATTATACCAAATATGATACACTGTTTTGTACGTAGTGATTCTACTTTTTTGGACTTTGAAGAACTTCCTAATGTTAATTATATTTACAAAATATAGGGATTTCACCTGGCAATGGTACATGTGTATCCATGTCTCTAATTTGCACCATGAACATGTGGATGCCGCAGTTCTTCCCCTTTGTGTACAGCTGAGCCATGACAACACAATGGTTTACAGTCTTTCCCACTATACAATGAAAATTTGTTTTAGGAAAAAAATGTGATTGTTCTTTTACAACTGAAGAGCACTTTAAAGAAATACCAATAGGCTATAACTGTCACCTGGTTTTCACAAGTTTCTCTGAGTCAGATTAAATACCAATAGGCTATAACTGTCACCTGGTTGTCACAAGTTTCTCTGAGTCAGGTTAAATACCAATAGGCTATAATTGTCACCTGGCTGTCACAAGTTTCTCTGAGTCAAGTGAAGTACTTTTATCTTGACTACTGTCGGTAAAACTGGAGAGCCCAATCATATTCCTAACTGGTTCAAATACCAAAGGTGTAAACAAATTTGATTTGAACTTACACTACTTCATATTTTCATATACAATTAAGAATATGTTTATTCTTAAGGATATTTTAAATGCCTTTATCTTATCAAATACTATATTGTTTTCCCATTTATGGTTTGGCGGTTCAACAATCCCATTCTAACTCTTATAAATATTTCTTTCTTCTGGAGAGGGACAAAACCCTCTAATTGAAAAAGAAAAGAAATGAACAGGTCACTAATGATTGCTTTGAGGAAAATTTGGCTGAAAAAAAATAAGGAGAATTAAACAAAAATATTACATGGCTTGAAGTTTGCTGAGCTTTAGACAATGCAAATTATTGAAAAATAAGATAACTTACATGCCCCAGGCCAGTATTTAGTGGCTGTCAGAGTTGGGGTGTTTACAATGAACTCCTCTGTCTGGGGATCATACATAGCAGTAGTCTCTAATCCACGGATAAATGTTCCTTAATTGAAAATAAGAGCAATTAATACATAGAATGTATTCTTTTCAACAATTTAAAACTATGAAGCCCGATAAGGAATGAAAATTATTTTTGCTTCTAATTTTTTTCAGCTGAAGTCCGCTGGATCTACTGATCAATAGACTTTCGTCTCTTTTACATATTATTTCTTTCATATGACATAGTTTTGGTTTGGTTATGGGATTGAATGAAAGCATTTATTAGTGTGATGTGATCTGAATACAAATTTTAAATGGAATAAACAGGACAAAGTGCTCACCATGACCCAGTTCTGTCTGAGCGTATGTGGCAATCATGCGCAGACTTTCTGCCATTGGCAGCCATTTTTTCTGTTGTTCCTCCGAGGATTGATTTTTTATTGTTGGAATGATCATTCCAAAATGGAGAGCCATGGGATGTCCCTCATGTGGAACCACAGCACTAAAATAGTTTATACTTGTTATATTGCAAAAAGAAATGAAAACCTGTTACAAACATTTCGTACTTATACTTGGTTAATAAATACATAAATATATGGGCTATGAAAGGCAGATCCAGGATTTTTTCTTAGGCTGTACCTTACCCATTCAAAACAGTTCGAAATAATAAAATGTTCACCTAATGGCCTAACACGAAAAAGAAAAGATAAGAATCGTGAAAAGTAGGGGGAGGGGGTTCGACATACATGTAGTCTTATCTTATAGACAAGCCGCCTCCCTTTTATATGACTCTTCCTATCGATTTATGAGGAGTCCGTGCTTCGATGGAGGGCATCCAGAATCATGCATTTTTAGGTATAACTGTACTATATTTTAATAGCGAGCGCAGCGAGCGGCGCGAAGCGCCGCTCGTCACTGCGAGCTCTTAAAGCAACGCCTGGGCGAAGAGAAAATTCGGACTGTTCACATTGATCCAAATGAATTTTTTTCCGCAGTAACCTGTAGTCCAATAATGCTTTGCGAATTGCATCTCGCCGCAAACAACGTTCTCGCGGTAACGAAAAGTTCCAAGAAAAATATAAACTCACCTTGATTTGATGGATATATAGCAGATAAATAGTACATTAAACCTTCTTTATTAAAATTAGCACTGTTCTGACTTCGTTTTGGTAATGCAACTTACAAGCGACGTCATGTGACGTCAGAGTCTAGACGTACTAAATGTCACGTGCGGTTTGAAGAGCCCGATCTAAATTAAAACTGAATATAGGTATCTGCGCTCGCCATAACGGTCGCACCGTCAACATATTAACACTGAAAATTCTAGAAAGTCCATACTCCCCCACTGGATTCCAATGTAGGTATTAAACTCATTGTCGTTGAAGTATATTTCCGCAATTAATAGGGCTGGGTGGTCATGGCCATTTTTAGACTATATTGATCTCCTTTAGAAGAAGAGCTCCATATAACATGTATAAAGATATACAAAAATGATCAAATTTTAAAACTAAAATGTGTGAATTTTTTCTTTGCCAAATGATAGTTAACAGCTTAAGATATCATATCTAAAAAAATAAGTTATATCTGATGGTTAATTTGTTGACCCCCCAGCCTCCTTAATTTGAGTACACGGAATTCGCCTACAATTTCCATTATATTTTAGACCATATATATATTGACAGAATTAAAAGATCAAAATTGTATTACTCTCGAAGGAAGTATTTTTCTTTGATGTCGGTGATTCCTAGATTTTCTTGTAGTTTGTCCAAGTACATGTGTTTCCTCATGGCAGAGTCGGCTCGTTCCTCTCGAGTCTGGAACGCCCATCGTTTATCACGCTTCAAATTCGGATCCTGTTTTACTAAATTCTCTGAAAATAAAATAAGAGTTCTTACTAATTTTATGTCATCCCAACTTTCTCTTATAAAAGAAACTACCTCAAAAGTAAGACTACAATTACAAATTGAATTATTGTTATCATCGAATGCAGACATTGGCATCATTAGCGCCCTAGAGCGCTAGCAATATACATGTATTAACTTAGTCTTTTTAACGGGAATACGCTTGCTCGAATTCAGATACAATGTCAGCTTCGTATTGACGTTACGCGTGATGGTGGTGCCATTTTACAACTTTAGTACCACACGTATTAAACCCGTCGATGATCTCAAAACTATACTTGCAAAATGGGTGATTTTGGTATGAATCAATACGTTTTGAATAGAACTTCTCGATCCAGTCAGAAAATAAAATTTAAATAGATTTTATGCAAAATAAAGAATTTTAGAGCGCAAATTAAACCTTGGTGGGCTAGTTGCGATGATTTTTACAAATCCTTTCACCTGGTGGGCTCTTCACCCACCTGCAGCCACTAAACGATTTTTGTGTAAATACACTTATCCTATAGCTTTTTGGTGCATGCTTTATAAATAATCATTATGTTATTTATTTTTGTGGATATAGAGCATATATTTCTTTTCCTGTAATTTTAGTATGATTCTACTTGTTGTATTTTATATGTGATACGTTAGCTGATTACAAATGTTTCTTTACATTGACAGATCCCCCCTTTGCAATACTGTAACTTCACTTAAATTTACATTGTAGCATCCATTTTGATATAATGGACGGTAATTTACAAATTTACATTGTTTAATCCATTTTTGTATAATGGAACTGTAATTTGCATATTTACATTGCCAAATCCATTTTGTTATACTGGAACTGTATTTTACCATGTTTGTACGCGTTTATGATTTGATTTGATCAGAATATTATCATATTTTGATCAATAAACTTTTTTCAACACACATGTGAGTTTGTCTAATTTTCAAGTATAGGTATGGAAAGAGGAGGCATTAAGATATTTTAAGCGCCGTGTAACGTGTCATATTTTTAAGCAGGGATCGCGCACTTTTCTTGGTTACAATGTTCAAAAATGAATCTACAGTTCTCATTTTTCTCACAAAACAAGAGCAACCTATGCCATTTGTAACGTCGAAAGGGATTTTGCATTCAATGGTGGCAAAAAAGAAAGCGATAGTTTTTACGGAAAAAAGAATGTAACGCAAATAATGAAACACATGCATATGAATATAAACATTAGATTAACTTAATTACAAGAAAATTTAATTAGAAACAAAGACGATGGGCAAGAATAAGGCAAGCAAAATGCCTACGGTGCGACAAATATGAAGCTGAAAAATTAAATCTTAATTACAACAACATTTTCTTTGATATTTCATCTAACATTAGTGTATACTTTATGTAAAATCTTCACAATATGCAAAAATCTCACAAAGATTAAATTTATTTGCCTATGAAATAGCATACACACACCAAAAAGGGCAAAAAGGTTCAATTCCTCATATTACAACACAATTTTTTTTTGTATGAGTGGGTCTTCGCTTCATTTTTTTTTTTTTGAAAGTTTATTCTGAGAGTTTGCGATAAAATACACATTTTTTGGTGAACAAAAACATGGAGCAAACTAAGAAGACCCACTATACCTTACAAATACACTTTTATGACACAATACAATCTTTCCGAGAAATATTGGTCCATTTGGTCAAGGGACATATCACAAACATGAGTTAAATACCAATATTCACCAAGAGTTGTGTATCGTAGTGGTTAGCGTGTTAGTCTCAAAGAAAAACGATACTCAGGATTTTCATTGCTAGGTTTCGAACCCCAAGAATATCGCAGTATTTTTGATAGTAGAATAATTTTTGCAGAGAAAATTTTCCTCAGAAAAGTTTTGTGTGTCATAATGTCATAAATTTCAATAATAAAAACTTGACTCTAAAACTAAATTCACAAATTGAATATGATTTTTATATATCTGAAGCTAAAGGCATTCTGCACGCCTTGTTCGCCCATCTCCTTCTTTCAAAATAATGTGCTTTTCTTATTATAGATTTTAAAATTTTTCATTAAGGTTGATAGATCAAACTTTATGCTTTGTAGCGAATAAAAGGATTACAAGTTCAACAACAATTTCAAGAGTCAAAGATGATGTGCAAAAATAAGGTCAAGCCGTTTTTCGAGGGATTAAATTCTATTTTTACTCATCGATTACAAAATTAATTATATGTTCATTATGTGCTAATCCAAACGGTTAAAATGAATATCAGGTTGATAAATCCGAAATGATTTAATATTTACGCAACATTTAGGAGGTTCATAGTTGTTGTTGTTGTTGTTTTTTTTTAAATGTCCAGTGGATGTTCTTCGCGCGTAATTCGTTTAGCTTCAACGTAATGCAGGAAATTGCGTTTAAGAAAGGTTTGAGTAAATAAACTTTATCATACAAAAATCGAAAGCGTTCTTTTTGTTCATTTGTTCAATTAAAAGTTGTCTTTGAGTTTTTACTAAAACTTCAAGTACATAGAGATACATGTATCGATAGGACACCAGTCATGCTACAAATGTAGTAGCACTATAGAAGCCTAACGTCAATATTTCGAGGCGCTACTACCTTCTCGGGACATTTCCTGTCTTACACAACCTTCCATGACAACCCATTTTCACAAATATTGAAATAAATGTAAGGGGACCTTATATCGGTATCTATAGAATCGGGAGCTAAACTATTGGATGCAACACACGATATTACCTACAATATACCACAGAACGACAATCAACTGTATCCGGCCAACATTTTGATTGATGGGAGGCGACTCCTAAATTTTAACATCCGGTGATGTAAAGTTCTTTCTGAGCTAAAGGTTCGAGAAGATGCGATTGCTACAAAACAGTACCACCCTAGAACATTTTAAACTAAATTTATCTCTTTACGCTTTTAGTTTCGGTACTTTCCGTTAATCTTCGTATATTAAGAAAACTGGTTTTTCATGCACGAGCGCATGCGCGCTAAGTATAAATAGGAATGTTTAATTAATGCAACGTTCGTTACAAAGAATCGCAAGTCGTTTTGTGTCTTTGGTTTTCCCTGCCTGCTCAGCCCTTTCATTGTTCATTTTGTAAAATTTATATATTTGTGTTATATTGAACAAAAATGCGATTTGTAAAGAACGCAACAATCCTATAAAATATTCTTTTTCTTTGTTTTTCTATAAATTAATAAAAAAAAAATTTTTTTGAGGAGTGGAAGGAGGGAGAAAATAAGTGCAAATTGGCTCTACCGATCTCTTAAAATAGTTTATTTTCTATCTCAGTATAGAAATAATATTGAACAACAAATTGCTTAAAACAAAGTGATGTCATTGACTACGTGAAGCCTAATCGAGTTTTACCATTCTGAATTGAGACTCCCCCAAACCCCAATGCAGCACTGTCTTCCTATTACTAACCAATGACTTAGAAATCTACTTCTGTTTTTTTTTTAATGAATACAACACTGACTCTTCTATCTTTTTAAAGGTAAGCTTTTTAAAAATATCTGCATGTATAATTTCTGGGAATTTGACGAAGCTTGTACTGTAAAATGACTTTTTACTTTGACAATACAAGAAAGTACACTAACATTTCAATACATATATTGAACATTCCTTTTATTTCCCTGAAAACAATGTATTTGCATGAGTTTCAGCTTACTCTCTTCATATGAAGTGTTCTCATCGTGGTCTGTTTATTTACATTTGCTGTTTTTTTCTTTTTTTTAAAACAACTATGAAATTGATTTGAATATTATTCTCGTGAATAGTCACGCGTAGAAATATATACACGGAGAAAAGTGGTATTGTGAAGTCACAATGACGCGACGGAAATGTTTTTAAATATTTATTTACATTTGCAAATATTTTTCTTAGATGAACCTATAGAAGAGAAAATATGTTCAATTCTGTATGAACTTATTAGGGGGTCAGAGGTCATGGCGTGACCGAATCACACAGCGAGACGATATCTTGTCTACATATTTCTGTCACAGTGACACTGGTTTCGGAACTTCTGAACCGTCAAAGCGATGAAAAAGATAAAATTATTGACACATATATTTTTTTTTCGTTCAACAAATGATCGTTAGATCTTTCTTCGGTGTGAAGAATGTTTCTAATTAGCCTAAAATCACGCTTACCTCTTTAACCCGAAATTCCTTTGAAGGTATGTAAACTGAAGACGATAGCACCGCTTTTGACTTTATATATAAAGAACTCGTACAATAATAGTAAGATAATTCCCAGTAGCGATCATTGTTTTTTCATTATGAACAGATATTTCCTGAACTGGACTGCTAAACATCAATGTAAGTATTCAAATGTTGGAGCGAGGCGAACTCTCAAGACCAAACAACTTCTAGGTCATTGCGCGTCACAACATAGCAATACGGCGGGCCGTTCGTGTAATAAATGCAGTCCTATTCAGAATATTCGTCTCAAATGTAAATAAAAGTAATAAACAACAATGTTAAAAAGTTCACTGGGAAATGAACTTGGTTGGTACGTGATCAAATCTTCTGAGAAGCCCTTCGGGCTTCACAGGATTTGATCACGTGACCAACCAAGTTCATTTCCCAGAGAACTTTTTAACATTGTTGTTTATTTCTTAATTATATATATATATATATATATATATATATATATATATATATATATATATATATATATATATATATATATATGACATATGGCTTTAGGAGACCAAGGAGGATATATTTTCTGGCTTAGGGAGACCACTGGATTAAGGCGACCTTTTTCGGTCTCCCTATTATTTTGACCTCATCAGTATTGCAAATGTCTTTTTATAGATAAATAAACAGTCTGCCATTAAATATTATTAATCTTTAACTCTGTTATTTAACATTCAAAAGTTGTCTAATTTCTATCATCTTCCCTAAAAAAGGAAAGAAATTATAACCTACGTATAATTTCAAAGGATAATTTTTCTGCATTTTGGAGACCATGAAAAACATGCAATTAAACAAAAAATCTAGCATATATATTTTTTCCGCTTTTGATTTGTTCAAATGAGTGTTTCTTTAACTTAGTTTTCCATGTTTTATGTTAAAAACCTAAAAAGGAAAAATATTGTAAATTTATGAACCATGTTTTGAATTCTTAGCAAGTGCTTTCCGTCATTTGTTCCGAATGCCATCGGAATGCCCCTTCAGTTTTCAGAAAATGACCTCTGAACACCATGGATGTTGAGAAATTTGGGTAAGTAACTAAAATGATACAGTAATAAGTTGTAATTAAGAATACACAAGACAAACATTCGGTTTTTTTTTTCTTGCCTAGTAATTTAGCTTTCAAGAGAAAAAGTATGATTTTAAATAATCGTTAGACTATAGTTCGGTATATAAAATCCTGAAGAAAATTCGAAATAAAGTTAAATGATAGGCCCCTATATTTTTTAATTCTTTTATGCAAGTCCACAAACAAATTAAATATTTAAAGATTAGGCCGAACGTTGAAAAAATAGTCTCGCAAGTTGACGCAGCTATTTCGAGCTTAAAAATTTAAATTAAACATTCTGTAAACATCATGCAGGACATGATCATCATGATATAGTATAAATGAAACAGACCCTGTAAGAAAAAAATAGCTGTAATTTAATAATTGTTTATTAATATAATGTGGTCCTCTGCTAATAGAATATATATGCTGTAAAAAAAATCTGAATCAGGGTGAAGCAGATTTGATACAATACATGGCTGAAGGAACGGGGGGGGGGGGCGCAGGCCCCCTGAATTTTTGCTGAAATTTAGGTATACTGTAGAAAACATTGCTCCTTTATGCTTGGGCCCCCTCAATAATAACCTCTGATGATCTATTTTTCTTTTGCTTTTGGGCCCCCTCAATAATAACCTCTGATAATGTATTTTTCTTTTGCTTATTAAAAAATTTTTGGTTTGTAGCCTCCCCCAACCTGAAACTGAAAATTGTTGTTTGGTTGTGCTCCCCCCCCCCTCCAACTAAATTACGTACGGGCCTATTCTCCATCCCTGAGGTTTTCTTTCACCAAAGAAAGATTAATTGGTAACAGTTCAGATATATATAGCAATATTTACGGAAGGGAATATTCTCGTTTAATTATGAAGATGTGACAGTAACTCAGTCAAAGCCACAGTGAGTGTAACATTTATTTAATATTATTGTTAATGTTTACAAATAGTGAAATACTGATACTGTGAAATTTTAATGGAAATAGAAAATATAAAAGTACAACCATTTATTTTAAATCACATACATGAAAAGCTTCTTTTTTTCAAGCAATTGGAAATTCTTCATTTTTTCATGAAATTATTTTATTTCGTATGTATGATAATTTATTTCGTATTTTAATTCAGTCAACAAATCATTGTCGCAGCCTAGTTCCCTTCATTATTTTCAGCAGTTCAGTGACAGAGAAAAAATGATCATTTGAGGTTTATACCCCCCCCCCTCCCCACCAAATGAAACTGAAAAATGTTTGGTTTTGATCCCCTTCAACTGAAATTGATTCCTACTTACCCTACTTACAGGCTTAACTATGAAGATGTGACAGGGAGTGTAATAACAATAATTGTTCAGATGGATACATATTAAGCTGATATTCGTATCAAATTTTAATGGATAGATAGAAATTAATAAACAATTACAACCATTTATTATAAACTACATAAAGATAATTTTTCAAGCAATTTGAAATTCTTCATTTTTTATGATAATATTTTATTTCGTATAAAGTTTATAGGTTTATTCGTATCAACAAATCTGTGTACGAGTTAATAACGCAGCCTGGTTCCCTGCATTTTCAGTGACAGAGAACCAGAATAAGATTGTAGGGAAACAAGCCTTGTTACAAGGTTTGAGGTTTGTTTATTTTATATTTTAATTTACACTTTTTAAAAATTATTATTATTATGCAAAAATCTGTGTGCAGATGAATATTTACATTTTAATGTTATAAGTCGTTTTGTGGTTCATATTTGCGGTGACTGTCCCACGTGTGTTTACCTGTTTACATTCACCTACTGACCTAGAGTCTTCAAAATATACCTTCTGTAATCATGACTGTTGTAATCTTGTTTTTATGTTAGTTTACCGTATGTAACTTGACTGTTGTATAGATTTATAGCGATCACTGCAAGCTTTTAATATTTAGGTGAAGAGAAATTTCAGACTATCAATCACAGGCACTTGTTTCATATACGGTGCACCCCTACTTATTTTTACCACAAGGTTTCTAACTCAATTTCAGGCACCCCCGCTTCAAGCTCGTATTTTGTTCATGTATCATTATCAATCATTAACCTACTTTAAAATGACATCGTTCGCTTCAAGAGACTTTTTTCTTGTCAAATAAATCGTTTCAGACATCTCTGGTCGAGTCTCTTTATTGTAAAGCACTTATTTATTCCACGAAAATTACCTCGATACATTTTAAGACTTTAGATGGGATACAACTTCCAGTTGGGGGTAGAATAAAACCAAAGACTTCCGAGTATTCCATTCCGAGGTCTCTGGTTTTATCCTTCATTTATAACCCCAATCGCAAATTTGTATCGAAAATTACCTTGATACATTTTAAGACTTCAGATGGGATACAAATTTCATTTTTTTCACAGGTCACG